CCATTGAAACCAAACTTGAGATTTAGATTCTTATATACATTGAAACATACTCTATATGTTTCAATATTTAAATGTATCCAAATCTTATTCACTGGTATCTCTTTTTCGCATTGTTCACCGTCGCTTTTGGAATCATTACACTGGAAAAAGTCTGCGTTGTTATCACACTCGTTATTACTATTAGTACTTGTCCAAGGACGCCACATTTCAAACAGATCATAAACATTTCAAGTAATTATAACTGCACCAATATCGAATTTCAATACTCAAATCGCGATCAATTCCTGAACTGAACACGACGACGATAACCATCCCCGCATTTCTATTGGTCACCGTAACATGACTTCAAATTTAATTTTATGACTCTTCAGCCAATCATAAAACTCGTTTAGAAAAAATTATGCAATACAAATCGCCAATTCTACAGTCCACATGGACTAGTTCACAGTCGGTTCATTTTTATGTATTTTTTTTTGTAGCCTTTGTGAGTGCTGACAACTTTAAGTGTGCACAATATCGTTTACTCCGACTATACCTCCAGTTTCATTGAATGTTGTCTTTTTCATTCACTTTGCTAACTAACACTCCGATATGGGAGCATTTTTTATCTTTCACCAAGACGCAAAATTACAGAGAAACTATTAAATTTCTCAATAATATTACCTGTGTTACAAAACATAGGATCCTCGACAGTGTTGCCGTTTCTATATCACCACGGCTAGTAGTTATTGCAGTCGATGATAAAGGCGTAGAGCGTAAAAATACTCAGGATCGATATCCAGTGTTAGTCACATAGTTAAAGTAGCATTCCATTAACATTCGACTCCCAAAAATAAATGACATAGATAAAACGCTGACAATTTGATTTTCAGGGACGAGTGCTCACTACAAACCCCTCTTATTTCTCGCATCATTGAAGAACAAACAGATGCATTTGAAACAAGTAATTTGTATACGATTGCGTCACAGTGAGGAGCGGCTAGCACTGCCCACTAAGATGAAATTTCTCAATTATCTGGTTGACATGAACCTCTTTGAACCCACACAATTCTCTATTTTGTAGGCAAAACTGGAAAATAATTGAATGTTCAGTTTGACGGGACATAGTTTTTTTCTGTCTGCCTGTTTGTCTGTAGAGTGGGAAGCGTGAGTGTAGACCCACAGCACTTAGGCCACACGTGACCCATTGTACATCCTCCCGAGGAGTTGTCCTCCTAGGTCATCGCCCTAGATGGTTATGAAAACATTTTTTAAATTTTTTTCCCCACCCGGTGGGGTAATATCGCTTTGTTAGTAGGGCAATATCGTGCATGTTATTTGATCTTTTGAAGTAGGTACCTTACCTACCTCGGTAAAAATAAAAATTATCAAAGAAACTTGTAATAAGCAAACTAAAAAACTTAAACATTAGCAATACAATACGTTTTTAAATATTATATCGAAATAAACGTCGTTTTGATACTTCTACTTTCTTGATATTTTTTTGCACTCATCGCATTGAAAACCTTCAGCTGACTCTCAACCACTACAAGCTGCATGAGCCCATGCCGCACATCCAACGCAGCGATACCAGAGTTCTTTGTTTTTTCCAAATTCATCGCATACGATGCATACTTCATTGGCTACAGGAGGAGCGTGACATCGTGCGATTTCACTG